GGTTTGATCTTACTATTTTGTTCGGAACATATTCTGTTGCGTTAGATGAAACATCCACCTTTCTCAATATTCAAAGAGTGGTCTCATGTAAGAGATGATCCTTATTGGTCACCCATGCCCTAGCTTTTGGTTGTCTCTCAAACCTTTCTGGTTCTCTAAGCAGGCCATTTTATTTTCAATCATTTCCAATATTTGAGAGTGTGTCAATATGTGTCAGTGTATGAAAGATGAGAATCTCAGCACTTACATCCAGGCTCATTGGAAGCCAGACTTTCAATCAGCAGCTGTTAAGTATGCAAATGATAGATGGGTGGATGGATGGATGGATAGATAGATAGATAGTGCTGTGGGACTGTAAAGTGTTAGCTCCACTGGCCACCAGTAGGTGATTGGGAGGTGTTCTCTGGGCATCAGCCACAAAAATTGGGGCCTCAGGCACTGTATAAGCTCTTCTCTGGGACATACTGGTGAGCTGTAGTGAGACAAAGGAAGAGCACAAAGATGGCATCCCTTGGTGTATGTTTCCTGAGAGCCCCTTTGGAGGTTCCTAGATGTGTTCTAAATCTAAAGCCTGCCCCTTAGGATGAAGCTCCAGGATAAGCAAGTGGGGATTTTTCACAGAAAGATGGGGTCTGTTGTAATCTGTCTGCACAGTGCCCCAGAGGTGATAGACTGCCAAGAACTGCCTTCTTGATTGTTAGTCTTGTGGCACCCAGGAGTGCAAGTCCTTTTGGCCACTGAGCCAGGTGATCAAGTGGTATCCTTTGGGTGGCATCTGTGAAAACCATGGTACTAGATATAAAAACAGGGGCACCAGACATATATGAGCTCCCCTGCAATAGATGCTAGCACTCTGGAGAGCAGCAGAGGGAGAGTACAAAAATAGCGTCTCCCCTCCAAGGTCTCTGAAAGGTTTACAGTCAGTCTGTAGATGTGTATTTAATTAGAAGCCTTTCCCTCATGCTGTAGCTATGATGATAAGCTAAGAGGCCTCTTTCACAGGAAGATTGAACTCCTGGGTCTGATCTTCTTGCTGTCTCCTGATGGTGGTTGCTGTTTAAGAAGTTTTTCCTGTTGGTTGCTGTCCTATACAGGTGTAAGCAACGCTGGCCGAAGAGCCAGATGATGTAGAAGTGTCCCAGCAGCAGCAGCAGCATTAGGGAGCCAGATAAGGTATAAGCTCCTTTCTTTAACATACTAGTGAGCTGTAGGGAGGCAGACAGAAAGTGTGAAGATCGTGTCCTCCAGCTTGAGTGAAGCAGAGGGGGAGTGTAAAAGATGGTACTCACTGAAAAAGGGATAAAAAGACAAACGGAGATGGAGGGGGACAGAGCAAAGGAGACACACACATAGAGGGAGAGACAGAGTAATGAGGAGATGGTTAGCGGGAAAGAGGAAACGGAGAGAGGGAGGTGGGAGTAGAGAGAGGAGAAATGAGCAAAGGAGAAAGACACACAAGGTGACAAATACAGAGAGATGCAGAAAGAGAGACATTGGCAGACAGAGGGTAGAGGGAGACACAGACCAAGATGGACAGAGAGAGACAAGAACAGAGATGGGAATAAGAGGGATGTAGAGAGAGGTAGAGGGAAGAAGAGACGGGAGAGAAAGGAAGAGAAGGGGAAGCTGGGACAGAGGAAGACTGAGACACACAAAGGGGGAGAGAGAGAGAGATACAGAGGTAGAAAGACCCACCCACATAGAGAAAGGGTGGCAAAGAGAGAGAGAGGGGTTGGAGAAAAGGAGAAACAGACACACCCAGAGAGACAAAGCAAGAGATGGACACACACACAGAGGGGAGGGAAAGGGAGAGAGAAATGGAAAATGAGAGTGCACAAAGGACAGATGGAGAGAGGATGAGTATGACAGAGACAGTGTGTGTGAGAGCTGGGGAGCAAGAGGTGGATAGAGCTGGAGGGAGGGACAGCATCAGGAACAGATTGGGAGCGAGAGAGCTTGAGTGTGCAAGCCAGGGAGAAAGAAATGGATGGAGAGGGACAGAGGGAGAGAGAAAGGTGGAGAGAGAGTGACCATGCCCACCAGTTATAGAAGGCAGGATAACACAAAGATGGCACCCGCTGGCAAGAGTGTGAAGAAGTAGCCCACGGGCCAAAAATGAAAAAGAGATGACTGCCACTGGCTTTAGCAACACAGAGGTATAGTGTGAAAATGGCACCCACCAGCCTCTGTCCCTGGAGAGTATCCCTCAGGCCCCTGCCCCTCAGTCACACACTTAAAAATTATCAAAGGAGGAGCACCTGGTGGCTAAGTTGGTTAAGTGTCCGACTCCTGATCTCGGTTCAGGTCATGATCTTGCAGTTTGTGAGATTGAGCCCTGTGTCGGGCTGTGTGCCGGCAGCACAGAGCCTGCTTGGGATTCTCTCTCTCCCCTCTCTGCCCCTCCCCTGCTCATGTGTGCGTGCATGCGTGCTGTCTCTCTCAAGGAGCCTCTTCCACCTGATGTCTGGGTGCTTTTCAGATGGCTGCTTTTGGGCTGCACCGTGGGGTGAGTTTGCACATGAGTCCTATAAAAACCATTTCTCAATTTACCACAGACCTACAGGTCTCAGGGGTTTCAGCCCTGTTGGTTTTCAAAACTAGACATTTAGGGGACTCTCTCAGGTGCAGGTCTCAAAAGATAGGGTTCCCCAAGTGGGGTGGGAACACTTTGATCCTCAAGGAGAAGTTCCAGGTTTTCAGTTCCCTCCTGATTTGGGGTCACTGCTAGGTGTGTGAATTTTTTGGTGAGAGTGTGTCTACCCACTTGGATGTGGCTTTGTTCTCATTTCCTGAAATGCTGAGTTGCACTGCTTGGTTTCGGGTTTTTTCCCCCAGAGGAAATTGTTCCAAACGAAGTTGTAAATTTGTTGTGTCCATGGGAAGAGGTGGGTTCAGAATCTTCTTCCACTGCCATCTTGAACTGGAACATCCCACATTATTTTTTGAGTCTAAAGAGTTTTCTACAGTATTCTTCAGGAAGAGCTCATTCCAATCTGATGACAGGCACTCATGTAACTCCAACACACTGCTGGCACCACCCCTCAACCTGTGGGGTGTCCCGACATCCATCTCCAAGATTTCTGTGGTCTCTTGGCCATGGTGGGACACGTTCTAGTGACTGTTGATAGCCTGCTCATCTGAACACTCATTTCTTCCCATGGTAGTTTTTTCTTTTCCTTTATGTTCTATCAAGGCACAAGGCTCACATGAGGAATGTGTGTGGTCGCAGATGGTGGCATCATGGGAGATTTCCATCCTAGCCTCAGCACTATAACATCAAATGTTCCAATTCCTCATTGGTTGCCCTTTCCCACAGGTTGCAGCCACAACATTGCTTGGCCTTTTTCTCCCTCCAAACCTATTTTCTTTTCTACTCTTGTTTTCTGGGACCCCTCTGCCATAGGTAATCCCTCTCCCCTCCCCCAGAAAAACACTAAATATTCCTCTTTTGAAGATGCACAGCAGTTTCTCTCTCCATTTTGATTCACTTCATGGTCTACAAACACTCATTAATGCATTTCTCAGTCATCTTACTACCTCAGGAGACCTGATGGAGATATTTTAATGTCTTTTATTTCTAGTCACTAGCAGTGGATTTAGCTTAGCTTCCCACTGAGATAAAATATAAATTGTCCTCATCTTCCCTGAAACTCCCTCTTAAAAGGCAGAAGAAAGCGTAATCAGTTTGGATTTTGAGTAGTGACTATTTTTCCCTTGATCCTTTTGTGTGAGGAAAAATATTTCACTTTACATACAGATGGCAGTGTGTATTCTACCTTACACAGAATCTCTAGATAACTAAATTAAAAAATAAAATAAGCCCACCCAGTGTCTTCTCAATTTTATCAGTGGGCTCAGTTTACCAGCTTGTTTGCTTTCTCTGACTTCTTTCATCTAAACATGCTTCTGTTGATATAAAAATAACTTACCCAGTATAAATTCTAGTGTGGTAGAGTAGAAAAAAAAATCAGACTTTGAGGTACAAAGAAAGTATAGTTAACCAAATTAATATACCTAGGGTATACACCACATTTAATCTCCTCTAACTGCAGTCCTGAGCTGGCTACTGAATAAGCCAGAATGGGCCAGAACTACAGTGTTTAGAAACTTATTTCAGTCAGCTTCACCCAGTCCAGGGTTTCTCAACCTCAGCACTATTTGATCGTTGGAACTGGATAATTCTTTGTCGGAAGATACTTTCCTGTGGGTTGTAGTATATTAAGCAGCATCCCTGGCCTCTACTCACTAGAAGCCACAAGCACCACTCTACTGTGACAACAAAAAATGTGTTCATACATAGCCAAATATTCCCTAAAAGGTCAAATCACTCCTATTAACCATTGACCTAGTTCTAGTATGTACGTGGTTATGCAATCCTAGTCTGTAAATTTCAGTTGACTCCAATTTAAGGCAAAAGAAATGTTAGCATTGTTGGACATACCTTGTAGCAGCTATTGGCATAGAGCACCAATGCAGGCCTAGTATCTTCCTGACCACCATAAAGTAATGCTATCTGAGGTGCCTGGGTGGCTCAGGCGGTTAAGCGTCCGACTTTGGCTCAGGTCATGATCTCGCAGGTCATGGGTTTGAGCCCCACGTCAGGGTCTATACTGACAGCTCAGAACCTGTAACCTGTTTCAGATTCTGTGTCTCCCTCTCTCTCTGCCTCTCCCTCACATACTCTCTCAAAAATAAACATTAAAAAATTTAAAGTAGTGCTACCCAACCTTACCTGTGCATACCAGTCATCTAGGCATCTTGCTAATAATGCAGATTCTAATTCAGTAGGGTTGGGGTGGAGCATGGAATTCTCCATTTCTAACAACGTCCCATGTGATGGCTGTCAGTCCAAGCACCATCTTTTGAGTAGCAAGAGTCTTTAGATGGGTACGTCCTTCGTGGTATTAAGCCTTTATGCTGCATACCGTGTCACTATAGGGCCCTGGCTGGTCCAACGGGACCCTTGAGAACCAGGTTTGACAATCTTCTCTTTGCCGTAGGTTGTTGCTGCGAATCCCACTCTATTCCTTCAGTATGGTGCTAGTGGATAAGCATGGCATGGACAAGGAGCGCTATGTCTCCCTGGTGATGCCTGTGGCCCTCTTCAACCTGATTGATACTTTCCCCTTGAGAAAAGAGGAGATGGTCCTGCAGGCTGAAATGGGCCAGACCTGCAACACCTGATGCCATGGCTCTTCTCTTCGCAGTTCCTCTTGTCGTCCAACAGAGTGCCATGCACACGGAAAGGCCTTAAAAGTATCCTTGATGTACAGATTTTTATTTGTAATTTTTAAAGTCTATTTTAATATGAGCTTTCTTTGCACTTAAAAATTACCATGATGCTTTTTGTACTTGGAAGTGTACCAAAAAATTATGAATATGATATTTACTCTTTCTCTTTATTCCATCATGGCTGGTTGATTTTATAGAGAAATTAGAAACCACAACCATACACATGCTTTCAATGTGTTATTCAGTGTAACACATAACTTACTTCTATTTTGTTTTTTTTATATAAAACTTATATGAATAAAATATTTTGGAGCAAATTTATTAAAACTCATTTTGTATTTCAAGCACAAGCCATACTTGCTCAATGTGGTCAGGGGTTTGAGGGCTGGGCGGCTTAGTGGTGCTTCAGGAAGGGAAAACTGAAAACTGTCATTACTTTTGTCAGGAGGTGCTCAGCTGAGCTGGGAGAACTGTGCTTTAAGGTGATAGCATAACTGATTGAAGCAACAAGCCAAAAATTAAAGAGTTAAGCCCTTAATCACTAGCTGTGATGACATAAACAGGAGGCTAAAACCAGAGGAAGCACCAATTCTGCCCTTTTGTTTTTCCCCAGTGGACCACTGTATCAGTCAAAGGTCAAGTGGATCCGCACCCTATTGGGTCATCACCCTATTGAGGGAAGTCCATGTTCTGGGACCCTCCACTCAAAGATAGCCCTACTAGTCCGTGGCCACACCCAAAGCCACAAAAGCTAAACACGTTTCCCCCACCTCCCCAACTCTGCCACCACCTTTTATTCCCGACAGCTTATTTTATACATGCACTCACCACCTCAGCAGCAAGTCAGCTCCCCCAGGAGAAACCAAAAACTTTTGCTGTAGCACTACTTTCTGGGGGGGGGGGGGGG